TACAGTATTCAGTTTAAATTTTTTTAATGTTCTATTTACATTGCTGTAGTCTTTGAGTATATAATTTTCCTGGTTCTACTTATTTCACTTTGCATCAGTTCATAGAAATCATTCCATGATTCTCTGTATTCTTCATATTCATTATTTCTTAATATTCCATTTCATTTATGTAGATATTCCCCAATTAATGGACATCTGCTTTGTTTCCAGTTCTTTGCTACCACAAAAAAGTGCTGCTGTAGGTATATTGATATGCCTAGAGTTTTTGGACTAATTGGTCCCTAGATCCTCTTGGGAAGCTCTAAAATTTAGTAATTGGGAGTTGAAGATAGTCTAAATATAGAGAAGTTGAGTGGGTGTTTCCTTCTCCTGGTTCCTGGGAAGTGGTAGCAACAGGGTTCTGGAGAGCATGTGAACATCAGGATTGAAGAGAAATATGTGAGCTAGAGAAAAAAAAGGGGTTTGGGAAGGTGTGAAGCAGAGGAGATAGGATAAACTGTGGAGACATACATAGCCCTCTAGCTGAGATTTCTACTGGTACTTGGAAGACGCAGGAAGCTGCTTAATGGGCAAGAGCAAGGAACGTTGTGGGGAGAATTATGGAGAGAGAAGGGAATCATTATTAGTATGGTAAAGATGATCATAGAACCTAGACTTTTTGAGTGAAAAGGAACCCAGGGCACCTGGGTGGCACAGTGGATGGAACACTGGCCCTGGAGTCAGGAGTTCAAATCTGGCCTCAGACACATAACACTCACTAGCTGTGTGACCCTGGGCAAGTCACTTAACCTCATTGCCTAGCCAAAAAAAAAAAAGGAACCCAAAGACCAATAAGATGTGGTTCAAATCCTATCTCTGACCCTTACTAGCTGTGTGACCCTGGACACTTAACTCATACCCAAAAGAGAATATTTGTATAACATACTGTGCCTAACAAATGGTCATTTAGCCTTTGCTGGAAGAACTCCATTGAGAATCTACTTTCTTACTCTTCCCAAAGGCTATAAAAATGTGCATACCTTTTGACTCAGCAACAGCACTTCTAGGGTTGTATCCCAAAGAGATCATAAAAATGGGAAAAGGACCCACATGTACAAAAATAGCAGCTCTTTTTGTGGTGGCAAAGAATTAGAAATTGAGGGGATGCCCATCAATTGGGGAATGGCTTAACAGGTTGTGGTATATGAATGTAATGGAATACTATTGTGCTATAAGAAATGATGAACAGGCTGACTTCCAAAAAACCTGGAAAGACTTGTACGGACTGATGCTGAGTGAAATGAGCGGAACCAGGAGAACATTGTACACAGTAACAGCCACGTTGTATGATGACTAACATTGATAGACTTAGCCCTTCTCAGGAATGCAAGGATCTAAGACATCTCTACAGGTCTCATGATGGAAAATGCTATTCACATCCAAAGAAAGAGCTATGGAGTTTGAATGCAGGTCAAAGCATACTATTTGCTATTTTTTCCTTCTGTCTTATTTTGTTTCTTCTTTCTGGTGATTCCTCCTACTGGTTCTAATGCTTCCTTACAACATGACTAATGTGAAAATATATTTAAAAAAAAAAGAGAGAATCCAATTGGGTATGGAAATCTGTTTTACCCTACAGGGACATAGGGGGAGAAGGGAACAAGAGAGCAGCAGGAGAATGATAGAGAGGAGAGCAGATTGGAAAAGGGGGTAATCAGAAGCAAACACTTCTGAGGATTGACAGGGTCAAAAGAAAGAATTGAATAAATGGGGGAGGGCAGGATAGGATTAAGGGAAATAGAGTTAGTTTTTCACAACATGACTACTATGGAAGTGTTTTGCATAACTGCACATGTATAACATATATTAAGTTGCTTGCCTTTTCAATGAGGGTGGGTGGGGAGAGAGGAAGGGAGAAAATTTGGAGCCCAAAGTTTTAAAAACACATGTTTAAAAAAATGTTTTCACATGCAACTGGGAAATAAGAAATACAGGAAATGGGGTACAGAAATCTATCCTGCCTTACATGAAAATAGAAGGGGAAGGGGATAACAGAAGGGGTGGAGAGATAGAAGGGAGGGCAGACTAGGGGAAGGGATATTCAAAATGCATGCCATCTTGGGGCGGCAGGAAGGGTGAGATGGAGTGAAAATTTGGAACTCAAAATCTTGTGGAAGTAAATGTTGAAGACTAAAAATAAATTAATTAATTAAAAAAAAAAGAGAGAGAGAGAGAATCTACTTCCTCCTGGGGGAGCCCATTCTATTTTTGGATGGGTCTAATTGTTGGGAAATTTTTCAACTTTCTTAGTTGAACTTTCTTAGTTTTACCTTCTGAGGCCAAGTAGAATCATTCTAATCCCTCTTCCATGTGCAAGCCCTTCATATACTTGAAATCATCTGTGAAGTCCTCCCTGAGTAATCTCTTCTCCTCTCTGAAGATCTACAGTTCCTTCAAATCTTCCTCATTTGGCATGATCGTGAAACTCACCACCATCTTAATCCTCTTCTTCTGGATGTTCCCCAGTTTACCAACATCCTTTATAAAACTGTCCTTTCCGCATAACCTTCAGTCTTTTTGGCTACCAGTCTGTATCATTGTTTCCTCAATCAGTCCAAAGCTCCCCCTCCCCATCCCTCTCCTCACATGAGAAGGACATTGATAAGCTGGAGGGCATCAATCCCCTCATTTTATAGTAAGTCAATAAACATTTGTTAAGTGCCTACTATGTGCCAGCCATTGCACTAGGCACTGGGGATACAAAAAGAGGCAAAAGATAATCCCTGCCCACAATGAACTCATATTCTAACAGGGAAGGCACCAAGCAAACAAATACATACAAACAAGCTATATACAGGACAAGTAGGAAATAACTGGGAGAGGGAAGGAACTAGAATTAAGAGAAGTTGGGAAGATGGGATTTTAATTGGGACTTGAAAGAAGCCAGAGGAGGCAGTAGACAGAGATGAGGAAGAAGTCCATTCCAACCATGAGAGACAGCCAGAGAAAATGGCCGGGGCCAAGAAATAGAAAGTCATGTTCTTGTAATGGCAAATAGGTAAATGTCACTCAATCACAGGGAGAATAGGGTACAAGAAGGATGGAAAGGTAAGAGGAGGCTAGGTTATGAAGGGCTTTGAATGCTAAACAGAGGATTTTGCATTTGATCTTGGAGGCAATAGGGAGCCACAGGAGTTTATTGAGTAGAGGCATGACACGATGGAACATAGGCTTTAGAAAAATCACTTTGGTGGCTGGATGGAGAATGGACTAGAGTAGAGAGAGATTTGAGGCAAGTAGATCCACCAACAGGCCATAGCAATAGTCCAGAGGTGATGAGAGTCTGGACCAGAGTGGTGACAACAATGTCAAAGGAGAGAAAAGGAATATATAAGAGATATTGTAAAAGTGAAGTTGATGGGCCTTGGCAACAGATTGGATGGGGAGTGGGAAGTGGGGGGAGGGGGAGTGAAAGATAGTGAGGAGTAAACGATGACACCTAGATTTCAAGCTGGAGGGACTGGGAGGATGTTATTGTCCTCTATAGGAATAGAGAAAGTGGTGGGGGTGGGAGGTGAGAAGGGAAAAGGGGAGGTTTATGGGGAAAGATAATGAGTTCCATTTTGGACATATTGAATTTAAGATGTCTGTTGGACCTCCACTTTGAGGTTTCTGAAAGGCAATGAGATTAGAGGTCCCTTAGGTTAGGTAAATTTGAGAATCATCAGCATAGAGATGGTAATTAAATCCATGGGATTTGATGAGATCACCAAGTCGTACAGAGGGAGAAGAGAAGAGGGCCCTGGACAGAACCCTGTGGGACACCTACAGTTAGAGGATGTGACCTGGATGAGGATCCAGCCCAGGCGAGAAAGAAGGTGTGGTTAGGCAGTTGGGAAGAGAACCAGAACAAAGCAGTGTCATGAAAACCTAGAAAGAAGAGAGTGTCAAGGAGGAGATCACCAGTGTCAAAGGCTGCAGGGATGTTGAGGGAGAATGTGGAGAAAGAAAAGGCCTTTGGATTTGGCAGTAAGAGATCATTGGTGACTTTGGAGAGAGCAGTCTTGGTGGAATAATGAGGTCAGAAGCTGGATTGTATGGGGTAAGAAAAGGCTGAGAGGAAAGTGGGGCGTTCCTATTGTAGACAGCCTTTTTGAGGAGTTTACCTACAAAGGGCAGAAGATATATAAGATGATAGTTAGTGGGGTTGGAAGAATCAAATGAGGGCTTTTTTTTTCAAGGTGGAAGAGACATGGGAATGTTTATAGAAAGTAGAGAATGAGGCAATAGAGAGGGAGAGATAGAAAATAAGTGAAAGAGGGAGGATGACAGAAAGCCAATTTGTGGGAGGAGATGGGATGGAACGGGATTGCTTGCTCAGGTAGAGGAGTTAACCTTGGTAAGGAATAAGGCTATCCCATTATGTGAGACAGAGATGATGGAGGAGATAATGGAAGAGGACATAGGTGTGATAGGAGATGAAGAAGAGGGAGAAAGAGGGAACTCACAGCAGATGACCTCAATTTTCTTTTTCTGTAAAATATGAGGCAAAGGGTCTCAACCTACAGATGAAGAAATGGAGGTTGAGAGAGGTCTAATGACCTCCCCAAAGTCATACAGGTAGCAAGTAGCAGAGCAGAAATTTATGAGCTACGTTGATTAAGGGTGACCGAAACAGTGGGCTTTCCCAGGCCATCTGATTTCAGATCAGTTTTGTCACTATTTCATGTGTAATATGCCCGGTCTCTTTCAATAGACTATAATCTCCTAAGGGTAGGAGCCATGTGTTTTTTATTCCCTTTGTATTCTTCTCAGCGTCACTGCACATACTTGGGATGCAATTAATGTTTAATTGAATGAATGAGTGAAATAATAATGAGACATGGGGGAATAGTTGGCAGACAGTCCTTAGAATCTCATAGAAGAATTAGAAGAGATGGGCATTAAAGGAGATGGCAGGAGAGGTAGACAATTTTATGCAGAATCACTGACCTTGTGACTTTCTTTGTCCTCTAATGCAGACACTAAAAACTTAAAAAATTTGACCAGACTGGCAGAACCGAAAATCAGTGAGGTCACAAACTGTATAGAGCACGCTCTTACCTCTCGAAGTCCCCGGATCCGCTACAATCCTGGCCTGGACGCCAAACTTCTCTACATCCCACTGGCCAGCTTCCCCACACCACTGACGGACTTCATTCTGAGCCGATACCTCCCAAAGCCAGCAAACAGTGTACTATGAGACACTGAGAAAAGGGTATTGGGGTCTGGTAAGGTGCATGGAAGTCTCAGTGTGGCTGAGCATGAGGAGCCATTTTCTTCAGCTGAAACTTTCACCCCCAGAACTTTTTATGCCCCTCAGAATGAGCTCTCACCAAGCCAATGCTTAATGCAAACCTAGCATAGCATTCCCAGGTTCAGAAACCCCACCATGATGCTGGGAAGCCACAAGAGTATAATAATAACCTACATTTGCACAGTATTTTCTTGGTTTACAAAGCACTTTCTTCACAATAACCTTATGAGGCAGATGGTAAAGTATTATTCTCTCAATTTTACAGATAAACTGAGACTCAGAAAATTGAAACGATTTGTCCAAGTTTGCACATTTAGTCAGTAGCAGAGGTAGGAGCCAAACCTAGGTCTTCAGATTCTACAACTAGTGGTCTTTCCGTTACACCCATTTGCATTGCATCCCCAGGATGGCCAGCAATTAGAGCTCTTGAGATTTTTGCTGACCTGCAATGCCAAAGTCAAGAAGAGGGCAAGGAGTTCCTTCCAAATATTTAACCAATAAATATAATCAGTTCAAATTCTCCTAACTAAAGAATGGTGAGGAAGTTGTGGGGAGTCATTTGCAAGAAGATACCATTTTTTAAATGTCTTTTCTATTTTTGATCTTTGAACATAAGGAAAAGCTCATCCTCTCACCCTCCAAATTGGAAGTTGTGAGACAATGCCACAGTCATCGTATCCAAGATTCTTATCCAAGTAAAAACCTTGAAATGCTTTCCCTAGAATTTCCCAGTGTTTTATTCAGTAGATGGATGCTGTGCATATTAATAAACATTTACAATCTCTGCCTTTGAGGACCTTATTCTATGTTAAGACACATGGAATTAATAAAGATAACGAATTAGAATGTTCCAGCAAGAAGGGACCTCTCCTTGCTGGCATTTGTATTAAGGTTTCTCACATCCATCCTGTGAGGTAGGTCCTGTTATCAATCCCATTTTATAGATGAGGAAACTGAAGTTGAGAGAGATTAAGTGATTTGCCTGGGTCACAGAGGCAGTAAGTGTCTGAGGCAGAATATGAACTCAGCACTTCTTACCTCCAATTAGGCTCTCCATTTCATCACCTAGCTGTCTTATAAACACTTTAGGGACCAAATTTTGGCTCAGGAAAAGATCTCCATGGCCATCTAATCCAAATCCCTCTATAAAATAATGAGAGTCAACTAGCTGACAATAACAAGGGTCTTCTAGGCTTAACCTGAAAACCTTTAGTGAGGGGGATCCTATTACCTCCTGAAGGGGTCCTGATAGGTTGCCCTGTATCTAAAGCCAGTTTTCCCAGTCTCGGGAGCCCCGTGGGTTGCTGCATGTAGGAATGCAGCTATGCACATGTGCTTCCTGTCATGACTTCACATTTATTTCCCTTCTAGTAAGGGCTGGTATGAGAAAAATGAGACTGCTCCAGTGACTAGATTCTCCCTGGCATCCCTGCCCCTCTACACTCTTTTTCCAGATTCGTGGTGATTGTGATTGGTGGAGCCCAGTGGAGAGGGTAGGGATGCAGAGAGCCCTCCTCTTTCCTTTCCCCAACTTCCTCTTCTCCAGCCAGGAAGCTCCCCTCTCTGCTACAGCCGAGTCAGGGAAAAATCAACTTAACTGTTTTTTCCCTCTCCGATTCCTCTACTCAATTTATTTTCTATTGCGTGTAGTCTGGGGCTCAGGCTGGTACAGGATAGGAAGGCCAAAAGGAAGTTAACCTCTACTACCAGCTTGGCGTAGACAAATACAGGACCAGGGAAGCAAGATCCAGCTAGGGAGATGCTTTTTTTTTTTTAATCCATGAAGATGAGACTGAAAATGTTGTTTTCTATTTTAGGGTAAGGGGAAAGAGTTGACTACATAACACAGAGGTTCTTACCCTTTGGGAGGGTCATGGGTCACTTGGGTCCATATTTGGGGAAAACCTATAGACTCTTCAGAATAATATTTTTCAATAATTGAAGGAAATGATAAATTTTAGTTAGAAGTTAGTGAAAATAACTGCAATTTTTCCCATCCAAGTCCATGGACACCCTGAAATCTATCCATAGACCCTTGAGGGGGTCTCTGGACCCCAAGTTAAGAAACCCTAGATTAAAAGGAACTCTTTCCAAAGTCTACATTTTTAAAAGTAAAGTTTAGCTGCTAATTTTTTTAAAAGCTGGTTGTTTGTTGGGTGGATAAAAATGTCCTTTATGATTGAGTGTTCAAAAAATGTTCCCCTAAAAAAAAAATCCCCCTGGGGCACACTAATGAAACATGCAGAGCATGTTTATGTTACTAGTTCGTCCTGGGATAAGCAGAACAGGGCAAATACCTAAAGGGAAATTTCTTGTCAGCTCTTCTCCCTCCCCCTGCCTTTCCCCACTCCCACCATGTTTATCTTTTCCCCAAGATAAACAACCCTAGTTCCTTTAACCAGTTCTCATATGGCATAGTCTCATCCGTCTGCTTGGTCTCCTAAGATTTTCTTACAAGCTGGCCAAAGACATTTTTCTAAAATGGAATTGAACACGGTACCTTAGGGAGCTCCATTAGAGGAGATCTTCCTAGGGCAAGTTACAATGGGACTTCCATTACCTCCTATTTTCCTAACACTATATCTTATCGTAATGTAGAATGACACTCCTGCCACCACCACCACCACCACCACCACAACCATACACACGCTTGTTATAACAGGTTGGAGGTTTAACTTTACTATGGTACTTGTCTTCAGTGTGGATTGCCATACTAACTTTACTGTGGGAGTTTCCATGAAAATAAATTTGTATTCCTTGGGTACATGCTGACTGAGAGCAATAGGGAGATGGCTTAGAAGCCTCCTGGGTGATTATGGGAGTAAAGGTTGCTGGGGGTCAATCTGCCCACAATCTGATGCAGAAAATCTACAAAAGAAATAAATGAAAATAATGGCTGAATAGCATAAACTCCTTGAATCTGGTCAACTCTCTGGAAATCATTGCATTGCATTTTAAAAGAGAGACTTTTTTTTTAATTTTTAATTTTTAATTAATTTATTTTGATTTATCAACAAACACTTCCATAAGCTTTTGAGTTTTATATAGGCTACACAAATACATTCTTATTAAACATATTTTCACATTAGCGATGTTGTAAGTAAGAATTAAAACCAATAGGAGGAACTACCAGAAAGAGGAAACAAAACACAACAGAAGAAAAAAAAACAAATGGCATGCTTTGATCTACATTCAAACTCCATAGTTCCTTCTTTGGATGTGGATAGCATTTTCCATCATGAGGCCTTTGGAGATGTCTTAGATGTTTGTATCGCTGAGAAGGGTTAAGTCTATCAATATTAGTCATCACACAACGTGGCTGTTACTGTGTACAATGTTCTCCTGGTTCCACTCACTTCACTCAGCATCAGACCATACAAGTCTTTCTAGGTTTTTCTGAAGTCCACCTGCTCATCATTTCTTATAGGCCAATAGTATTCCATTACATTCATATACCAACCTTGTTCAGCCATTCCCCAATTGATGGGCATCCCTTCAATTTCCAATTCTTTGCCACCACAGAAAAAGCTGCTATCAATATTTGTGTATATGTGGGTGCTTTCCCCACTTTTATGATCTAAAGGAGAGACTTTTTAAGACAGAGGTTCTTAACTTTCTTGTGTTGTGGACCCCTTTGGCACTCTGGTAAGTTTGGCAGTTTGGAGCCCTTCTCTAATTAAAGGAAACACTAAATTTCAGTTAAAGATAGTGAAAATAAAGATGTAACTTTTTCCCCCATCCAAGTTCAGGGATGCTTTTTAAATCTATCCTGTGAACATAGGTTAAGAATCTTTGCCATAGAGAAGGAAGAGAGGAAAATCCCTGAGCCTGTCCTTCAGCCTAACATGAAGGCCTCTGTATCCCCTACCACATGGATGAGTTAGGGAATATCTACCCCAAGCATGCGAAGATTTCCCCCAGAGGAATGGGTGGAGGAGAACAATTTGTTCCAATAGCCGTGAACGCAGCTGAAGCAGGCTATGTGGAGCCCTTAGAGCTTGGTCAGACATTGAACACACCAAGGTCAACTGCTGCATCCTGGGTCATAGCCAGTCGTTTTGACTTTCGTCTTGCCACTGGACTTTGATGATTCTGGAAGAGAGAGTGAGGCTGGTGAGGCTGTGCAGCTCTGCCTCACTTAAATCCAATTCACACACAAATCAAGACATCACCCCACGATGTCATCCTCTTCGAAAAGGAAGGACGAGCAAGAGGAAGGACTCTTTTGGATGACTGCCTTTGACTTTAAAACTGGTGAAACTAAACTGGTCCCTTTTTTTCTTTTCCAATTGTTTTTCAACCATACTTATCTGTTGCATCCAGAGGGTTAAGATCATAGTTCACCCACAGCCTGGATGCCATGAACTGAATTGGTGAGAGGGGAAGCACTTTTCTTTCCTGGTTTCCTCTCTTTTACCCCAGCTCTCAGAAATGGCCCCAGGAGTGTTGGGAGCTGGAGCTTTGCCAATAGCAAATCACCTCCCCTTTAGACACTGAGTGCCACTGCAGCCCGTGTTACCTATGATGCCTTGCCTGGGATAAAATTGAGCCCTTTGCTTTGTGGGGAACCCCTAGAGACTTTTGGGGGCACCACAACTTTTTATTTTGAGGTGCCGAATACTGCAAAATCCTAGAGAAATTTGGCAAAAAAAAATTAGGCTATAAATGTACATTCGATTTTTTTTTCTGGTGAGTGTTTCCTCACAAGTCAGTTACATTGATGTAATTTTGCAAACTTTTCACATGTTGATTGCTTGATTGCTTAAAAATTGATACTTTTGGTGCTATTGAACTCTGTGTAAGGTTTGATTTACTGATAGGTTCTGTATTACCCTGGCCTATGTAAGAACTAATGTTAAGTTTAATGTGAGAAATCTGGAATCACCAGATTGATACTGTCTAGCAAAAATATTCACATTGTTTATTTTACATTTAAGCAGACCTAGACGACTTGCTTTTTTGTGAAAGCACAATGCCCTATAATTTCTTAGGGTGAGCAACCTAGGCCTAGAAACCACAAGTAGCTGATGTTCTTTGTTATTCCTCTAACTGAACCTACTCATCTTCTTATCTTAATAGCTGAGTCTGCAATTCCATTTGGCTTACCCTGGCAGAAGCAAGGATCCAAGGGGGAATTTCGGGTCACTCTTGGAATAAGGATCCCAGAAAAAATTGCCTAGACCTCTATGGGATTACCTATGCTAGAGGGACCCCTGGAGAATTTTGGTGTGCCCTATCTGGGAAAGACACACTTTGTGTTTTAGTGTGCCTTGTATAGAAAAGGACACTTTTTGTGAAAATCCCAGTTGGATGGCTTTATGCACTGAGGAAATTATTGGAAGAATTTCTACCTAAGTTGGTTTTCTCATTTGAG